CACGTTGTTGATGATCTGCATCAGCCCGCCGAACCAGACCTTGTCCAGCGCGGGATTGAAGCGCGCGCGCACCACCAGGTCCACGGGCAGGGCGGTGGCGCCCCGAAAGCGCCGCACGAACTCGCTGACCTCGGCCGAGACGATCTGCTGCACATAGCTGTTGCCCGTGAAGGCCTGGCTCATGCGCGTGGCGTCCACGTTCAGCTGCAGCTCGGGCGCGCGGCCCGCCAGCACGTCGCGCTGGAAGTTGGGCGGGATGTTGAGCACGAAGGTGTAGGTGCCCGAGTCCATGCCCGGGTCCATCTGCGTGCGGTCGATCATGGCCGGCGGCGCGAACTGCGGCGGATAGAAGGCGCCCGCGATGCGCTGCGACAGCGGCGAGCCGTCCTCGTCCACGATGGCGATGGGCGCGTTGTGCAGGCTCTCGGGCATGGCCGTGGCCGCCGTGTAGATGGAGACCGTGAACACATAGGCGATGAGCACCAGCAGCACGGGGTCGCGCCACAGGCTCCACAGCTCCTTGACGCCCAGCCGGTAGATGTTGGAGAAAAGGCGGGTGCGCATGTCAGCTCTCCTGCTTTCTGGTCAGCGCAATGGCCAGGCCCAGGATCGCCGGCACGGACAGCAGCAGCGGCCCGAACGAGCCGGCCAGCTCCCGAAATCCCAGCGCCTTGCTGAACACGCCGCGGCTGATGGCGATCATGTGGCTGGCCGGATAGACCTCGCCGATGGCGCGGCCCACGCCCTCCAGCGAGGACACGGGATCGACCAGGCCTGCGAACTGCGTGGTGGGGATCAGCGTGCCGATCAGCACCAGGAACATCGAGGCGATCTGGCTGCGCGTCAGCGTGGAGGCCAGCAGGCCGAAGCCCGTGGAGGCGCCGCTGAAGATCAGCGCCGCCAGGGCCAGCGTGGCAAAGCTGCCCGTCACGGGCACGCCGAACAGGGTGACGGCCATCAGGCACATCAGCAGGAAGTTCAGCATGGCCAGCACCACATAGGGCAGTTGCTTGCCCAGCAGGAATTCGGTGCGCGTGACCGGCGTGACGTAGAGGTTGGTGATGGAGCCGCTTTCCTTCTCGCGCACCACGGCCAGCGCCGTCAGCATGGCGGGCAAAAGCAGCAGCAGCAGGGGCATGACGGCCGGCACCATGGCCGGCAGGCTGCGCACGTCGGGGTTGTAGCGAAAGCGCGTCTGGATGTCGATGAGGCCGGCCGGCGCCACGCCCAGGCGCTCGCGCGCCTGCTCGGTCAGCCAGTGCTGGTGGATGCCCTGCAGGTAGCCGCGCACGGTCTCGGCGCGCGTGGGCATGGCACCGTCGAACCAGGCGCCCACCTGCACGGAGCCGCCGCGCAGCACATCGCGCGCAAAGCCCGGGGGGATCTCGATGGCCAGGGTCAGCTCGCCGCTGCGCATGCGGCGGTCCAGTGCGTCGTAGTCGGTCAGCGGCGGCTGCTCGATGAAGTAGCGCGAGCCCGACAGGCTCA